TATATATATCGCATGGATCGCATGCATTGGTGTATATATTAAGCCTATTCTTTTTGGCTGAATTTTTGATCAATTCATCTTTTTTCCTCTTCTTTCCTCTAGGATATCAATCAATAAAAACTTCTTTAGGATGGAAAATGAAAAGTGAAAAATTTCTCCATTAATTTCAATGGTAAAAATTTTCACTTTTTATTTTAGGGTAAAGTTTCATGATTGATACTTTGGAGACAAAAAGGAAGAAAGATGAACTGGTGCAAAAGTTCAGCCAAAAAGAACAGGGAATCGGTTCTGTATCTCTAACGAGATGAAAATTATAAAAGTGATCGAATTTACTAGAATACTGATAATTTCATTGGTCAACTAATAAATTTGGTCACTTTTATAATTTTCACTTCGTTTCAAAATACAGAATTGGTTCCCAGGCCTGATTGATATATAGTGCGTTTGAGAATAAGTTTTATGCCAACAAAAGAAGTAAATATACATATAAAGTAAATATACATATAAAATTTATTTATTTTTAAAATTGGCGAGTATTTTGTAAAAAATGGGCGCAGTTCAGCTTTGAGTCCCTATAAAAAATCGTGATTTTTTTTTCTTTTCCCGAATTATTTACAAATAATTCGCAACGCATGAAAAACTGAGCCCGAGCTGGGTGAGGGAATTATTTCATAGATAAGATCGCGCATGCGTACAAATTCGCGCCAGTTGATTACGAGTCTCCCTCTAGCGATTGTTGACTGTCATCGTTGCTCTCGCGAATTCGCGATCATTCGCATTTCGCGATGTGTCGCGATGAGCATTCCTGTTAAAAGTTGTTATTTACGTACCTTGGAAGGAATTCCGACGAATGTTTATCTGCCGGACAATACACCAATTTTCGTAGGACGCTCGCCAGAAACCGGCATCACAGACGTGAAATGCTCGCGACAACAAGGTCGCATAATCTTCTGAGAGTCCCTTTTAATCCGTATCATTATTTACAAATTAAGATATAGTCGCTCCACTTGACACTTGAACTTATGTAATTATTTTCGTTTGTGTAAAAGAGAATTATATTGACTGTATACGAATATAGTACAAGAATTTTGACTTGTTCTTGATGCTAGATTGATTTTTTTAAGTCAATAAGTTTGCAGAGAGGTTAAGTTCAATTTTTTGATTGTATTCAATAAAGTAGTTCAAAATATGAATATTGGAACACTAGGCTTGCAGGATAAAATCAAGAAGTTTGTCTTTAAATTAACATAAAAATACAAATTATAACAGCTGATTAAATAATGATAAAGTAGATAAAATATTAATTAATTAAATTTTTACAGCATGGCAAATAATTTTGCTTAAGCCTTGCCATAATTAGTATCATAAAGAATTTAAATAAATATTCTTATATGAGAGACTTTTAAATGATTTATTAAGATTTAAAATGAAAAATTTTTAACTGTTTACCTTATTCATTATGTTTATTTACTGTTTTAAATTTCATATCTTTAACTGTCGTTTAATTTTTATATTGCAATAATTATCACTTTATTTAACATTGATAATAACCTGTTATAGGTTGAAACATTTATTATTATATATGAGTTATTGTTTATCAATTTTAGTATTAAATATTTAGCTTTGGCTTATAGACCTTTAATTTATTTAGTTTGTTTTAAATGAAAAGATGTTAGAGTAAAGAAGAATTTAAAGAAATTTGAAGATTATTTAATCTAATGTTTTATACCTTTATTTTGTAAGTTGTTAACACAAATGAATACATTAATCTTTTTACAATGAACAGTTCGACTATGTGCAAATTATACGGAGGCTATCGTCACAATTCAACAAATCGGTCCACATGCCTGTGGTTTTAATGGCTTTAAAACTCAGAAGGATGTGAAATTTGTAGCCAAACATAATGATCGCTTGGAGTTGCTCTATGGCAAGCATGTTTTCGAAATAGAGTTCAATCCACCTCCAAGTGTGAATAACTTTGCGTTGAGGAAGAGATTATATGAATCAGAAACAAAAGAAACTGAAGGCAAAACGAAAATGTTGAAGTCAGATGATTGCTCTGATAATCATTCGGAAGAATCTGAGAATGACAGAGAAGAAGAAAGGTCACCTTCGAATGGTATATATATCAATCAGAAAACATTCAGCACTGATTCTAGCACATCCTCTGAGCAGAGCACTGAAAGCTCAAATACATCTGCAAAGTGGGACAGTGTGGATAATGGAAAATTGTTAATTTATACAGCACCATCTGTTCAAAATAGACCAAAAGTAATTTTAATTTTCAATTACAAGATTATTTAATACATTCCTGAATAATATAATCAATTAAAAAATACAGTGAATTTTAAATTCGTTACATATACATACATGTATATATATTTTAATAAGATTTTCATAAATACTAATGTTAAAAATGAATTTTGCTTTTTAGGTGGCTGCATATGATATGGATGGTACTTTAATAAGAACTAAATCTGGTTTAGTGTTTCCAAAGGACTGTAACGATTGGCAGTTGCTCTATCATGATGTACCTGGAAAATTGAATCAGCTTCATATGACCGGATACAAAATAGTGATCTTTACAAACCAAGCAGGCCTTAGCACCGGAAAATTCAAAATCAGTGATTTTAAAGGCAAGATCGAGAAAGTCGTACAAAAAATCGGCGTTCCCATTCAAGTATAGTATAATCATAATTATAATTTTCACATAAATTATAATATTTTCACTTATGCATATTACTTTGTAGGTTTTTATTGCTGTGGGAAAGAGCATTTATAGAAAGCCAACAATTGGTATGTGGGAATTTCTGGAAAAAGAGGTACATAAAATCTTTTTAAATAAAATAATATTAAATATTAAATATTAAATATTATGAATATTTTAGAATGTTTACAAAGAAAATTAAAATAAAAAAGTCTCTCAAGGAATTTTTCTTTTTTTTATTGTCACTTCATTTCTTACATTATTAAGATAAAACTAAGTCTATAATTCTTTATTATTATTAGTTAATTATAAACATTTTATTTGATTTCTTAATTGTCTAATTTCTATTTACAATAATTCCACGTTTATGTAACTGTAGAAAAATGGAAGTATCACAATTAACAAAGCTAAATCATTTTACGTCGGTGATGCTGCTGGTCGGCCGAAAAACTGGGCTCCAGGGAAAAAGAAAGATCACTCGAGTGTGGATCGATTAATGGCGTTGAATGTTGATGTTAAATTCGAGACGCCTGAAGAACATTTTTTAAAACGTAAAGCGCCGCCTTATGAGTTACCTAAGTTCAATCCAAAAAATCTATCGCAAATCGACATATGCAAACCTGCGGACGCGGAATTAACACTCATACAGCAAGAGGTAATAATACATACTTTTGATGTTAATTTTTACATTTAAAGTTTTTTTAAAGATTAAATATTGAGAGGAGACTATTTAATTAAAATTATTTGATTCACAATAAAATTTCTTTTTATACGTATCTTATCCTTTCATCAACAGATAATACTTATGGTCGGCAGCCCGGGCTCCGGAAAATCATATTTTACAAAAAATCATCTAAAAGAATACGGATATGTCAATAGAGATACTTTAGGCAGCTGGCAGAAGTGTATTGCTGCAGTCCAGCAATACTTAAATGAAAGAAAAAGTATAGTTATAGACAATACTAATCCTAACAAAGCTTCGAGAGAGAGATATATAGAAGTAGCCAAGAAGTGCAACGTCCCGGTTAGGTGTTTTGTTATGACGACCAGTCTAGAACACGCTAAACATAATAATAAGGTAATAATTGGAAATCAATTATCATACGAAGGAATGTTCGGAAAGCTTTAGTCGAATTATTGCATTGCAGTTTCGCGAATTGACTGATCCAAACCACACTCCAATCAACGACATTATTATACACTCTTATATGTAAGTGAAATTTAGATATATACTTTCATGCATTTTCCTAAAATTCT